GATGAACTTTTTCCAGATTTGCATAAAACCAATGAATAAAAATCTTTTGGAAAGACTGCAAAGTTAATTCTCTAACCTAATGAGATTTACAATTTTAATATGTGACGTCAGAATAACATCTTTGAATTAACTCCTTTTTTTCCTTTCCCAATGCTCACCCGGTTGACACTCGTCATACAGTCATCTGAAGGGCAGATTTGTTAGCCATTCCTTCAAGGGCACCCTATTAGGTGAGCCAACGTTGCTCCCACAGTAAGGACAGATAGTACAGAGAATTAAAAAATATCCATGCCTGATCCGGGATTCGAACCCAGAACCTCTCTGATGTGAAGTAAGCTCCCAAACCAATACACAGTTCGATCATCACACATGAAATTCTTAACGAAGCAAGTAATATCATTTAATACTTTGATGCAACTCAAAACTAATATTTCTTATTGAAAGAATTGGTCTAAAAGTTTTTCGAAAACAGCTAGCTTACGGTCAGTAACCTGCAAAAAGTGTTCCAGTCAATGACTGTAAAAATCAAATTATACCTCTATGCGATTTTCCGATCCAGTGACTTTTAACGGTCCACTCTCTTGTTCGAAACTTTTTTAAATAAAGAGAGACATGCTTTTTGAATTATTTTTTTTTTAGTTCAGGTGAAAATTTTAACGAAATTATTCTTTGCATTCTAGTTACAACCAGCTACAGCCGAAAGTAAATTGGCTACCCATAAAGCTAACCTGATCACAAAAATACAGATCCATCCGTTAATTTTTTTTTTTAATTTATGGCTGTGGACCGTAAATTGCCATTATACTCGTAAGTCTTCATTTTGAGCTTTCGCATTCTTTAAGACTCAAACTATTTGTTTGTCGAATCACTTCGAACCCTCGGACGAGTCGTAATAGTTTGGAGCTGCCATCTGTCGAGGAGTGAGAGAATTGTGAGTTCGTTTCACATGGTCATAATATTGTGGAGGGAGTGCGAGAGTGGCGTTCTTTAGCCCCGGCGTGAATCGAACCTAGGATTTTGTAACCATGCGCTGTAATCATTATGGGAAATGGAGTTCAACCGAGATAGGAAGCTTTACTTTACAAGGTTTTTTTTCCTCAAAGAAAAGAGCTGACTGTATAAAAAAAATAGTTAATTCTATTAGTTTTTCTGAAGTTCGTTATAGTATGAAGACGATTTTGCCCAAGAAGAAAACTGGCCGTACACGAAGAAAGAAATCCTGGTATAATTACCGTACTTGTGGTAATGACATTTATGGTGAAAATAAAACATAATTCTTAAAATAAAACCAAAATATGGGGTATTTAAATCATTCATTCAGTCATTTTTCTGCTCTTAGGGTAACGGTTTACCGGAAATGGTAGTTCTGGTTTTAAAAATTATAGTTCTTATGAGCACACGTTTTGTTAAAATGCAAAACTGGAAAAAAAAATTAGCCAAATAAATGGTTTTTATGCCATACTTTAATGTATTATTATTAAAATACCAAATTTTACCACATTTGCTACCAAACATCATGGTAATAAAACTCAATTTTACTGTTAATTTTAACAAATTCATTACCAAAGCACTGCGGTAAAAATTACCATGCTATTCGGTATTTCCATAGGACCAGAAACACGGTAAATGTTACCATATTCTGGTAGCTTTGGTCATATTTTTTTTCTCAGAGTATCAGATCTCCGAATTTTGGGTAAACTCTTTAGAGTGTATAAAGAATTGTTAAACCACTGCCAAATTGAATAAAAATAGAACGTTATTATTCTTAAAATAAGGAACGGTCCCTATCAACAAGTTTTGGCAAAAAAAAACTTGTTTCGAGATGCATTGTATCTTATGATGTACAATTTCAGCAGCTACTACAGAACGAGAAAAAAAGAGTTTTCTGTTTTTGAATTGTATTTTTAAATAAACGGGATGAAAAATTGCGCTCCCTTCAACCTATTTTTCATATTTCATATTATCAAGTCTAAGATTTAAGATGGGAAGGAAGAGGAAGTCCATTCATATTTTTGATGGAAAAAATATTGCCCATAAGAATTTTTGCCCACAACAAATCGATCGAACGTAAAGGAAATCAAAGTTTGGAAAAGTCTTTGTCACGAATTTTATGTTTAAAGACTTTGAAATAGTATTTTTTGTGGGTTCAAAAAGCATTCTCCTTTACTTATGCTTATAAAATTACAAATAAATAGTTATATATTTGACTTGAAGCCTTATAAATAAAATAACAATACATAGTATTAGTTCATATTAATAGTTTATAAAAAATAGACTATTTCACGCAGTAAAAATATAAAATGTTTTTTCAATATTAATAAATCATTGTTATAATTTAATGTTAGTAAGAAACAAAAATGTTAAAAACTACTTAATTTATTATAAAAATATGCTTCTTTTATATTTTTATGTATCTTAATTGTTCCAATTCTATAATATTTTCTTGAAAGACTATGTCGCAATTCGTAGAAATGAAAATTATGGTACACATATTTAATTAAAGCGTAGATGTTTAAAAAAAATCTTGCCTCAAGTATGTAAAACAGTTATATAAAAGAATCCATCAATTTCAATTGAAATTTATTCATCGAATCGTTTTATATACCAGAACCCACTCTTAGTTGGTTAGACTAAAGTAAAAGAGATCTTCAATTTTTTAAAAAAATTTATAACAGTAATCTTTATAACAAAAACATAATAAATTGAAGGGTATGGAACAATATAATGATAAGGATCAATTTCAAATAGTTCAAGTGAATATTTTTGGTGAAAAAAAGCCACAATTTTACGATAGACATTAAGATATTTCGGTGTGCTGTGCTGTTATAAAGTGGAACTTTAAGAAACTTGCAAATTACCTACAGGGAAACTATACTAAGGATAGTTTTGATTTGATGTTAAAAAAAAGACCTAATGCCTTATCACTATATCGCTGTAAGTCCAACAAATGTCGTAATTATTTTTATAGTGCTTTTAGTTTATATTGCAGAAATGGAGTACAAATTAATGACCTAATTAAAAAAATAAAGTTAAGAAAACCGATAATAAATTTATTAGTGCGTAGAAAAAAGTTAGTGCCATTCTTTTTTATTTATCAAAGTTTTATCGTTTTCGCAGAAAACTATGAAAACGATTCTTTCAATATAGCGTCTAATAAAATTCAATGTCTTATCAGTTTTACAGACCTCATTACACAACTTCGCACAAGTGTGGAAAGCAAATGGCGCAGTTAAAGCTTTATTCCCCAATATGGTTTTATCCATCATAAAGGGCACACACACAAAAACAAAAGTTAGCTGCAAAACTTCTCCACAACACCATACTTCCACCGCTTTCTATATTAACAGCAAGACGTCAGACAGTCTATTAAAAGCAGGTACTTCCCAACTTGTCATCGTTTCATCAAGCCGGGGATATTCTTTTGTTGAGTTTTGAAGAAAAAAAATTCTTTCATCCAAGTTTTCCTTAAGTGCAGCCGAGAACAAAGATAGGAAAGACAATTAGACATTTGCGGGGTAAAAGAAAAGTCATTATATTTTGCGGCTAATAGTACTTGCTGCAAAGTGCATTTTTTTCCCCTGACTGCTACACCCCCAACTGCAAAAGTCATTCCACGTCTGCAGTTTCGTTGAAATTTTGTTGACTTTTTGGGCGATGATTTTTTTCTATCTGTCGTCTTCAGCATTTTTCTGTATATTCTTTTATCCCATCTTGGAAGGAGGATTTTTGACTTTGTTCCCGCTTTAATTGGGTTAGAAAACGAAACTGCTTTATGTGAGTTTAAGGGGAGAGCGAGTTTGCAGGTGAGTCACAAGTCAGTTATTTCGCCAAGCAATAAAGAGTTTTTTTTTCTTACCCTTCCTTCCCCCTACTTCACTTTGTACCTTCTTCTTTAGAAACTCTTACGAAAAACTTGTTTCAACATGGTCATTAAAAAGTTCTTTTTTTTAAAAAGAGAATGTTTTTTTTCTGATACAATCGCCTATGCCATTAATAAAAGTATTTTGTGTCTTATTTAATAATTTAGTGATTAGAAACACAATTTTATTTTCTGCTCTATTAAATTATTGTTTAAAAATACACCGAGAAAAAAATAGGATCAAAACTAAAAGAATGTATTAAAATTTATTGCGTTTCTGGCTCTATGTGAACGTTAAAAAACTCGGTATTTTTCTCCGAAACTCTTTGGCAATGATTTAAGTAAATTAACAATAAAATATGGTTTTAAAATATGTGGTAGAATTTGGGAGCTGTGGTGAAATTTGGTAATTTTATTATGATATTTCAGAGCATGGCATAAAACTATTTATCCGATTATTTCCGTTAAATCGTTGTCATATGAACAGAAAAATTACCCAATGAATAGTTTAAATACGGCATTTTTCGGTTTTATTGACCAGAATTATGGTTTTTTTCTCCCCCGCAATGCCATTACCGTGCAATGCGGTAATTTTAACAAAAGAGTTTTTCGCCGTGTGCATTGAAAATTAATTGCGTCGATGTAATGTTATAAAAGACACTCATTTGTTTGTTTGAAGTCACGATTTTTGATTATAATTATTGGGCGAACAAAGATAAAAAATATAATATAAAAAAATTGCCCAAAATATTTATTTAAAAAAAAACATCAAAGAACATTTTTAGATTGTTCACGTTATTTCAACATCATTCAAAATTATTTTGCAGGAATTGTGCAATAGTGCAGAATTTTATTATGCTGAATTCTGATGTTCAAATTCGATATCTAATAAGATAATAATTATATTGATCTATGTGTAATTATAAGTCATGCATTGTTTACAAAATATCTATTCATATCTTAGCAACACCCACTCGTAAGAATAATGCATTATTCAGCGCAATAATTAATTCGCGATTTGCATACTCAAAATACATCGGCGATTTAGTTTTCCGATAATGCTTTTTGATTCAGAATTTCGGAACAATAGAAGAAAAATGTTATTTTTCAAAAAAAGAAATGAAGTATCAAAATAACTTACCTTGCATGTTCCTAGTATTAAGCATATTAGTAAACACAGAATATATATTTGATTCATTTGTATGTTCATTCTAAATTCGATTTAGTCCCTGAAATAGAAAAAAAAATAATGATAAGGTGATGTACAAGATAATGAGTAACAAAAATATCGATTACAACATGTGTTCAGTGGAGAATATAGCAATTTTTAAATAAAAGCAGGCCAAATTGAGAAGCAATTAATTAAAGAATAGAGAAACCGAACACTAAAGCCAATTGCAACAATGGAATATTTATTTCCTAGAAGAAAAAAAACTTATAACTTAAAACCATACTAAAGTAAACAAAAATTCTAGTTGCAAAACAATTTTTCAGATTCTTTTTAAAATACAAATAAAAACTATTTAAAAAAAATGAAAAAAGGATGCTTAGCAACAATTACAGAATTGAAAAATCAAACACTAAGCAAATTAAAGCATTAAAATAACACTGTTCTGTAAAAAATTAAAACCAAAATCTACACAAAAAGGAATAAAAATACTAAATACTAATCAAACGTTATTTTTTTTAAAAAATAAGCAAACACGATGTCTTAAAATTAACAGACACAATCTAAACACTATATTTTTAAAAATAGAATAAAAGCAAAATACTTAGCAAAAAAGCAAAATTGAAAAACTGAACAATATACTGAATTATACCATTGAAAAAAATATTTCTCTATACAAAATGTTTACAATTTAAAACCACACAAAAGAAAACGAAATTGCTCTAGCGAAAATAACAAAATTAAAAATCTATACACTTAATTGATTTAGCGATGTGAAATAAAACTTATTTACATGAAAAAAAAATTTACCTTAAGCTACACAAAAGGAAACGAAAATACTAGTTACATAACAGCAATACGCGATCTTTTTAGAAAGTATTTTTTATTTTAAAATATATTTCTTGCGTAAATAATAATTATGATGATTACAATTCAACCCGATGTTTCAAAAAGTATAATGATAAGATGAAGCTTATTTCAAAAAGCTCTTTGCAGAAATTTTGAACTCAGAAATTTTACATCAATTTACCGGTTGATTGTTTCTAATTAGTTATCCTCTGAATTCTCGAATCTATTTCAATATAAAGTTACCATGATACCTATTTAAGTTACCATGATATCGGCACAATCAGTAAACTAGCTAATAATGCTAATTAAATTCAATGCTAATTAATTCAATGCTAATTATTTGAATTAAAATTAATTAATTGAATTAAAATTAATTGAATTAAATAAATTATTTAATTTAATTAATTAATGCTAATTAATGAATGCTAATTAAATTGAAATTGAAATAATAATTTCTATACGTTTGTATAATTTGGGACTGAAAAAACACTTTCGTATGTAATTCTTATTGCATTTATGTTTATTTATATTTGTATAAATCAGGTGATGTTTAACAGAAAAAGATTCATCAATCTTTTGTTTTTTTAACACATAATTCACAATATTATGTTCACAAAACATATCGATCATTTTCAAAATATTTACGGGAGGCAAAAGAGAACTTTTAAATCTGGTTACGACGATAACGGCTAAATCACGAAATTAGTTAATATTAATAATTTTAATTAATAATTTTAAAATCTGAGCTCATTAACCCTCTGCGAACCAGAACATTTTAAACAAAAAATTTAGTTAAGAAAAGTCGTAAGAACTGTTGTCATTGTATTTACTTCCGTAATTAAGCAATTTCTTTATCATCACGTTACTCAAGTGATGTATAAAAAAAAAACGTGTAGTTTAAGGGATAAAAATTCTTACAATTTTAGAATGTTATTTTACAATTTTAGAAACTTACAATGTTATTCTCAAAAATAAGTTGAGCAATTTTTATACCATCACCTCTAAAAGGATTAAATTCCTCGAAAAATTCAAAATTTTCGAGATTGATTTTTATGTGCCTTAATCTGGATAGAAAAAAAAAATCGCCCCAAATTTGCGATTTTTTTTTTAAAGTTTAGTAATGTTTTTAATTACATATCCGACTTTTTTCGACGAAAATCTCATTTTTTATTTTTATTTTTTTTTCATTTTGTCATTTTTAAACTTTAGTTCATTAACTTCTCAAAAGCCTTTAAAATTTTGGTCTCCGAGTTTTAGAAATTAAGTTACAGTTTTTTCGTATGTTGTGAAGACAAAACCGAAACCGAGAATTACTCCCGGAAACGAAATTAAAAGATTTTGGTTTTCCTTTGAGTATTTTAATATTTAAATAAATTATATCTCTTTGAATTAAAACAAAGGAAAACAAAATTAAAAGATTTTGGTTTTCCTTTCAGTATTTTAATATTTAAATAAATTATATCTCTTTTAATAAATTATATTTTTTAAACAAATAAAATGCATTTTCAGAAATTAATTTTCAAATCATTAATTTTTTCGTCGTCAAAATGTTCACATATTTCAGAATTTTCTAAATGCATTTTCAAAAGACCTTTGGTTTTGAGAAAATTTCGTCACGCTCATATATATATTACATAAAATGTGTTTATTATAGATTTTTTTGAAATTTTGTACAATGTTAATGATGTTTTGAATTAAAAGCTAAAATCTAACTGCTAATTTGTTACTTTTATCATGCTTTAAATAAGAATGTTTCGATTTTTTATTTAAGAAATCGATATTAAACAATGTATTTAGCTGCTTTCAGTGTTGTTGTCTTTTTAGAAATTGTACTAAGATTTAAATTTAAAACACATGTAATTACATTATTGATCCATATAAGAAATTATCTTGAAATTTAAGTATTATAATTTGTTATAGAGCTGTTGGCGTGAAAGGAAAAATTTGTAGTTTTCAAGCTCAATTTTTTTCCTTATTATTATGAAAAATATTTTATAATTTCAGACCTTAATTCAAATTTATAATTTTAGGACGCCTACTAATATTTAAGTTTTAATTGAATCGTTTTTTTTTTTAAAAAAAGTATGTCGTAAGGTAACCAATCGGATACCTGAAACCACAGACATTATTTCAGCAAAATAGTACATTCAGTTAAAAGCTTTACTTCAGTTTCAAGCTATTCAAACTGACGTTTTTAATTTTGCTTAGCGAAAAAACTTCAACAGTTACTAAAACGTTAATAGCTACAAGACAAGTGCATCAAGACCTTGTTGAATGAAACCAACTTTAAAATCACTAAACATTTAATTGCAAGTATGCATATGCTTTAATTACGAACGAATTCTTAGCAAGCAGAGAAAACTTCAGAAAAGAGAACTTCAAGAAAAATATATACTTAAGAGTAACAAATCTGTTTTCCAATTAAAGCATTTTTAATGAATTCAAAATGAATTTCTAGTTATTAAAGCAAAAGTATTTTTCTGTGGCCTCATAAAGAAGTCCAATAAAGCTTATAACCAATTCATATGATTCAAGGCTTTTGTATCTTCAGTAAAAATCTCTTTTAGTGGATATTTGAGATAATAATTCTTTGAAACCAGTTTTGTTTGAAATTATATTTGACACATCATTCACTCATTTCTTTCATCGTTAAATGCTTCTTGAAGCTTTAATAAAGCTTTTCTAACATCATGGAACAAGAGCAAAGATAAGTGATGCGTTTAAAAATCAGTTGTGAGATTATTTACCTAAATCAAACTCAAAAGATTTTTAACGTTAAAATTATTTGTTATTTTTAAACTCGAGCTTTCTAAATGCAACAACGTTAACAATTAAAACCAAGTTTTTTTAATTATAGATAATTTATTTGACGGAATAGATCATTCTAACGCATTAAAACAATAAGGGAAAAAAGAAAGAAACGTTTTGGTACATTAAGTCTACGAGTAAATTTATGAATATGCATTTAGGAATGCAAACTAAAAATTAATAGCAATAAATTTAAAAGATTTACTAATTAAATAGAAAAAATGTTTCTATGCAACAGTTTAGATGCTCTAAAATGAAAGAAAAGACTTACTAATTTTAGCACAAACAAATTATAAAATATTTTATCTATTTCAAGTTTTTAATAGTTTTAATAAAAAATCATCGTTTAATTCGCCCATTGTGTTTTGTCATTAAATCTAATTACTTTAGTCTGTTTGAAACCGATTCGAGACCAAGATGAATTAGAATACTTAGTAATTTTAACGAGAAAGCAGGTCACATGACAGGATCCTCAACAAACAAAGACTTTCAAGATATATTCGGCTGACATCAGCATGACATTAATAAAGGTTATTATGTTTTACTTTTTCTTTATTGTATTATAAAAGTCTTAACTATAAAAGTATTCCTTGATTGTATTATGAAAGTATTAAATTATTGTTTTATAAAAGTTAGTTATTTTCGTATAATTCTCAGAAAAACAGGAATTTCGCAACGAATATTTTTTTTCTTTTTTTAAAAAAATTCGTCAATTCAGTTATTACTTATTTACAAAAGGAAATTTGAACCTAAGTAATGGAACTGTTAAAGTAGTTTAGATTCTAAATACAAACCCTTTTAGTTTCTAAATATTAAATCAATGATGTTCGTCGGCAGGAAACATAGAGTTTTCCAGATGCGTGATCGAAAAAAAAATTATTGCTTGTCGTCCAAATAATCCTTAGAGAAAATTACAGTGGAATTTTTAGAAAAAAAAGTAAAGAATAATAAAAGAAAATAATAATTTTAAAATCTACGTTATTCAACAGAAAAACTGAAAATAAATCTATTTTTATTACACCTAAAATAATAATAAAAAACGTAAAACCCAAACGTAAAAGACGATATGAAAATGTTTGGTGGTGATAAAAATCTATAACAAAATTTATGCGCTTTGTTTTCAGGTGTGACTAAAATGAAGAAAATATAGTTATTTTCCAATTTTTAGGCCACTTGAAAAACGATTTTTTTTAAACTTTAAATTTATCTAATGTTTTCTTTTATTAAAAAAAATATATAGTTAGTTTCGATTGGTGATAAAACAAAGCTAAATTTTGCAAACGTTTAGGAAAAAATTGTATTTCGTATTCTAATTAGGAAAGAAAAACTGTTGTAGAAATTTAAATCCCATAGGAATTCGGAAACTGGTCACAAGTGATTGATAATTAATTCTATATAGAAATA